CTAATGTTCTGAATGCATAGGGAACATGTTTAAGGGTGTAGGTTGCAGTTGTGTTGGTCTAAGGACATAGGCAGATAAGGTTATTTGGGTAAATCTGATATCGTTTATTAGACCAACTCAAATAGTTGGAAAATTTCTTCTTTGCAAGCTTTTGGGTACAAATACCATTCGTCAGACTGAGGAAGTGTCTATAGATGGTCGATACTCTTCCTGGATGGAGTAGTAAAGCAGCCAGAGGCCAGTACGTATGCAAGAAAGTCAGTGAGTTAAAATGTAAATTGAAGTTGTCAGTACGTGAGACAGATAGGGGGCGAGGGGTGGGGAAGGAAATTAATGTAGCTGTAGTCAATGGATATGGAGGTGGGGGAAGAGAATGAGAATACCTGGTTAAAAAGTGGAGGGTTTATCTGGGGAGTCAGATGTTAGGCAGGTTATAATGTGTCATAAATCCAATGTCTATATTTAGTCCATAATGTTTTGTATCTAGTAGACTGACAAAGTGAAGTTTATAGGTTCATCTGTGAAAAATTGTTTGTAAATTCCTTTTGAGGATTAGAACTGTGAGATTGGAGAGAGAGTGGTTTTCTTGTGAGAGAGGTGCTCCCACAGGTAGCTGGGTATTCTTGTCTTTGATAGATCTTCGGTGTGTGTTTATTCTGGTACACTGTTGTTGTTTGGTTTCTCTTACATATTTTCCATCAGGGTATTTGGTGCATTGGATGAGAAGTATTGCATTTCTGGAGATGCAGATGTAAGATCCAGGAATGTTGATGGTTCTGTTATGGTGTGTAGGAATTGGGGGATGGAGATGTGTTGACAGGTCTTACATTTCTTGTCATAGCATGGTCTGGATCCATTTGGTGTGTTTTGGACCGTAGGAAGTTTGCTTCTGGTGATGAAGTTGGTGAGGTTCGATGCTTGTTTAAAGCTAGGTTAGGTGGTTCTGGAAAGAACTCTTTAAAAATAGTGTCTCCTTCTAGTATTGCTTAAGGATTTTCCATATAGGATCCAGGGAGGGATGATATGTCATAAACAGTGGTGTGCAATTCATGGGGGCGGGGGGTGCGTTTCTTCTGTAGGGCAGCAATTTTCCACGTGATAGCCGGGTGGCTCTTTCAAAAGTATGATTTATCTCTCTGGAAGAGAACTGGTTAAAATTTGTCCTAGTACAATTTGAGTGTTTTAATGTTTTGATTTGTTAGGTGTTTGCAGACTTTAGTCAAAAAGTGGAATGCATCTTAAGTCAGAATCCTAAGAAAAATCATTTTTAAAAGTGCCATTTTTTTAAACTGTTTGATTAGAAAGACTGTACCACCAGTGGGAGGGACAGTTGGAAGAGCTAGACACTATACTGTCCTGTCCATAACCAGCTTGGAAAGAAGCATCATGACCTGTTAGTTAATTTAGTACATTTAGTTGTTGTTATTAATATTAATTCATAATTATGATTTAGTATTTGTATTGTGGTGATATTCAGAAATACCAGCTAGAATCAGGGGCCCATTATGCTAGTTAAAATACAAATGCAAGTTAAAAAAAGATATAGAAAATGAGTGTAACAAACAGTAGGCATAAAAGAGCAACAAGGAATAAGAACATATGGTTACATGGTACAGCAATATGTATACTGTTCTGAATCATTTGAGTTTTTTAATTTAGAAAAATACATATTAGATGTGACTGTTTTGGCAGCTTCTTTCAGTCATGTAGTTTGCTGTTGCAATATTTACTAATCTTGCTATTTAAATGTAGAATCAGAAAACTTTGGGTGTGGTGTCTAGTATCAAGACCTAGTTAAAGACCTTGTTTCAACTTTCCATAGAATTATGTGCATGGCCCCATCTAAAGGTATCCTGCTATATTACTTTAGAGTTTGTATGTTGTATATTTAATATGTAAATTATGTGGTAACTGGAATACCAAGTCTGGGAGTTAATTTTTGCAGTGGACTGTGCTGTAGCTGTAATCTAAATACTATTCTGATATTTATCGCCTTTTTATATCCCTAGGATAACTGTTGGTATATTTGTAATTTGTGTAAATAGTTTTATCTTGTCCGTATAAAATGTCTTGAGTTCTGATCTAAGATACTTTTTTTAAATTTGTGGTTATATTGTTTGGATTTGGATGGTGCATACCAGAAGTAAAATTAAATCTTACCCTGAAACTACAAATGAAATGATAGTATATCTTGCATGGGAATGACAGCCACTGTGAATCTCCTACACTTATCTAGAATGTCAGCTCCATTAACAGATGTGTTAAGTAATTTACAGCAAACATTGCCACAGAACCATTCCACCATAAATAAAAGGCAGGGTAAGCTCATGCTCCAGGTAGGTGCCTCAAAGAGTTCATGAAAATAAGTAGGTCACCAGAGAGAAGTATAGTCTTGTAATAATATTCGTTATAGCAATACGGTGTTGCTATCAGAAAGGAAATCTCAGTTGTTCATGCAAGGTGAAACTCGAGCAATTCTATTGTAGCATCACTGTAGTGACTCTGTATTGATAAATGAGAAAGTACTTTAATTCTATGCCTCTGTTTTCAAGCACTTTTAACTTTAAGGACTAAAGCTTCTCATACTTGGTCGTCATCCAAAGGTGAGTCATTTGAAGAAAATGGCTTATGTGAACATGAGAAATTAGTGGTGATTTCGTACTTCAAGGAAGAAAAATTAAGATTTTTTTCCAACTCTGGCTCCAATGATTTTGTTTAAAATTTGAAGCTTGGCATAAACGTAGGTCTGAGTGAGGAATGTATGCTTTATTAAATTGAGGAGGGGATTAGTTGAGAAATAGAGGAGAAACAAATTGAGCGAAACTAACTTAATCCATAGTGCTGATATACGTGCATGTCAAGTTCCTATGTCCAGGTGTCTGACATTAGACAGTGAAATGGGCAAGAACATTCTAATAAAACCTCTGAATGGCACAAACGTGCATTTATTTAAATACGATCAACTGCATTTCTTTGCTATTGTAGACTAAACTACCCTCACCAGCACCTTAAACATTAGTCAAATGGTGACCCCCACGGTTAGAAATGGTCTGGGGAGCTTTTCATCTTTAGGCTGGCTGCTGGAATCAGATGTAGGCTGGTAGTGACAGGAAGTCATTACTACTTGGTGGCTGTTAAGCAGCTTATAAAAACAAGTTGATGTTTAGACCTATTCTTAGTCAACAGGTATTGACATGAGAAAATTATTGGCAGAGTTGAAGGCAGCCCCAGCAGAGATGACAAAGATTAAATGGGCATGAAAACTGAACTCCCTCTGTCCTTACAGGTGGTCCCCCTAGAATATGATTAGGGAACATAAGGTGAGCAGCATGTAGAAGTCTGCCCTGCTGTTGCCTGTGCTGTCCACTTTGCAGTACAACAGAATTTCAGGTGCCAGGACTTCCTTTAGGATCCTGCATAAGCAGCCAATTAGCTAAATTATGGGTGGGGTGGGGGAGCATTCAAGGAAAGAAAAGGTAACAAACAATTGGTGCAACATGTTGTTGAGTGTAAACATGCACAGAGGAGTTCTGAAGCCAGGTGACCGTGAACTATGGTTCCTGTTAAGCTCTGTGTGGTGATACATTAGGGCTTATGAAGGTGTAGCTGTGATGGTCCATACATTATAACAGAAGCAAGCTGGGTTTTTTGTTGTAGCCATGTTGGTCTAAAGACATAGGCAGGTAAGGTTCTTTGGGTAAATGCAGTATCTTTTATTAGACCAACTGAGTAGTTTGAAAACAGTTCTATGCAAGCTTTCAGGCTTTCCCCTCCTTTTTCTTCCCCTCTCTTCCCTTTCCTACCTTTTGTTTTCCTAATTTCCACGTATTTACATTGTCACTGACATCCCTGTCATACTTTTAGCTTTTCTCATTTCCTTGGAGTCTCAGACCAGCAGAGGCTCCCTATGCTAGACAAAGAGTGACTGTGCCTGAAAGCTTGCAATCTTTTTTTTTTCAGCAACTCAGTTGGTTTAATAAAAGATACCTACCCGAGAACCTGGCCTGCCACGAGAGATGCTTGCCCCCATTGGCTGGGGGGGGGGGCACGGCAGCAGCAGTGGTAAGCAAGGGAGCTCCCACAGATGCCGTGGGTGCTGTTTGGCAGGGTGGGAGAATGGCGAGCACTGATCAAGGTTCGGCGACCACCCGCAGCCATCCACGGTGCTGCGGGTGCTGAGCAGTGCCTGCCTGCAGGTACTGTCGATAGTGCAGGGGGTGCCCCGCCATGCTCAGGGGGTGCCCGTGCGCCTGCTACGTGTCGCCCTGGAACTGCCACAACAGAGGTGAGGATTCCTTAGGGTGACGATCACTTATTGGGCCAACTATGTAGCTGGGATAAAGGTAGATAAGCTTCCCGATGCCAGCCCTTCTTCCTCAGGTCTCCGCTGGCTGCACCGTCAGCCTAGCCCTGCCCTGCTCAGCTCGCGGGCCGTTTCCGGGCAGAAGGCCCCACAGCGGGGCCTGCGCTGGCGGCCCGGAGAGCCGCCGCCAACTCCTCCCCGCGCCAAGCCAGCTTCCCCGCAACCAAGCGGCTCCTGCCGCCCAGGGCTGCGAGCGGGCAGCGGCCCGGCGCCGAGCTGAGGTGACAGGCGCGAGCCCGACCGTGGCCCCCACTCGCGCCCAAAGGTAGAAACCCGCGAGGCCCTTTTCCCAGCGCCGCCCCGGCTTCCTCCCACGTCACAGCCGGGCTGCGGCCGGCCCTCGGCGCGGAGCCATTGGCTGGCGGCGGCCGGGCCAGGCGCAGACTGGCGGCTCCCACCGCCAGTCGCCTGAGGCAGCCAGTGGGAGCGAGGCGAGGCGGCACCTCCCACCGCTGCTGCTGCAGTGCCCCCCCCTGGCCTGGGCGGCGCTGTGCGGGC